TTTTTTAAACCTGTCTAACCAGCCATTCGAGCACATAAAAGTAGTCTCACCAAATCGCTTAGCAAATTCATCGACTTTGACTTGAAGCCTTTGTCCAGATACTGGAAGATTGCAACTTCATTGAATACTGAACCAATTCAATAATGAAGCAAACAAGAAAAAATGCTTATCTCTGCATTCCAGGCTATAAATAGTTTTAAAAATCGGTATATGTATTTATTTTGAAGAAGAAATTTCAAAATTATTACAAAATATGGTGAAAATAAATGAGAGAGAAAAAAGTTCATAATATCCAACTACCTCTCTTTTGTTTTAGTTCTCTCTAACCACAAAAAATAACATTATACGTATGTAGCAAGGCACGGGAGTAGCGAACATTTTGTTCACTATAAACCGTGTTCACTATATCGAGTTTTGACTGTATATCACTAAAAAACTAATTTCACAGAAGAAATTAATAATGCGTCTGACAAAGAACCACGGCAGCAAATTTATCATATCGGAATGAGCCCAGCATAGAACCACAAAGAGATAAGTAAAACTGGGTTAGAAAAAAATTCCTCTTTCTTTTCCCAAAAATAAATTATGCGAGACTCGAATGTCCATTAGAACAAAATTGAGAAATAAATTTTATTACTTTAAATACAGGGTCTTCCATAACCATGCCTTTGATATATATTTTAAGATTTCTTGTCAGAAATGAACTAAAAGGTTATTCACATTTGGTAGCACAAATTAATGAAAGTGAAAAATTCAAAAGCCTTAATGAAAAACGAGATTATGAACGTCAAAATTTTCTGTATTGTGTGATGCAATTGAAAGGGAAAGGCGACTATTAAGAAAAAAACTTTCAAATTTCAGATGGCAACTGAAGGTGAAAATAATTTACCCCTCAATATTTATTAGCCTGCTACTAATAGCTACTTGTTTACATTCACATAAATATAAACTTGCAACCGCAAGTTTTTTGCTTCAATTTTGAGAAGGATTTTAAATATGCAGGCACAGGGGGAAAAAAGTATGGTAAAAATTACTGGTACGTGGCAAAATTTACCGTGTTCCTGGTTCCGTGTATCTGAAAATTAGGTAATTTTTAACGAAGCACTTTCGTAATGATATTGGTAAAATTAATAGAACAATATGGTTTTATGCGTGATAAATATGGTAAATGAGGTAAAATTTGGTAACTTTACCATGATATCTTAGAGCATGGCATGAAAACCATTTATTCGGTTGCATTTATTTTTTAGTTTTGTATTTTCTACAAAATGTGTGGTATTAAGAGCTATAATTTTTAAGCCAGAATTTCCGGTAAATCGTTACCATATGAAAGGGAAAATTACCAAATGAATGACTTAAATACCGTATATTATGTCTTTATTACACAGAAATATGTTTTTTTTTTCTTCCAGAAATTTCATTACAGTACGTTAATTTTACAAAATTTTTTTTTCGTGGGATGTTCCGTAGTCACTTCCTTTATCAGGGAATTTTAGAATCGTTATCAAAACCAAATTCTAAAAAATGTATTCGCTACGTTTTGAAAATCAATATTTAAGCGAGAAAAAAATGTTGTCGAATTCCGACGAATCACTATTGATGAAGGTGTAATTAAAACGAATCGAAACATCTTTGATGGGCCGGAATGAGCTCGGTCTCTCCACCAATTGCCTTTGAACATCTATTTTTTCCTTAATCTATCAAGGAAAAAATAGATGTTTAAAGACTTTCTCATGTTTTTAAAACCGTAATTCTCAATATTCAAAGGTCAGAATTCAATAACATTTTATTTGCTCAAATTTACAAATTCTTAAAATAGAATCTTTAACGCATTCTTCTTTGAGTTCGTTTTCGGCAGAGATTCTAAAAAAAGTGTATTGAAAGCAGTGATTACCGAATAAAGATTGCTGTTTGAAAATTTTGTTGACCTATGAAATGACGCTTTTTTGCAAATTATATGCTATTCTCTTAATTGATGTGCTGTTTGAAACAGTCGTTCATGAATGTTAGATCAAGTTATACGCCTAGCGTCCTGAATGCTATTTATGAAATGAACAAAATGTCAGTATCAAGCAAATCCACAGTTTTGTGAAAATGAAAAGTGTTTATGATCTAATTTTCTTAATATTTAAAAAATAACTCCAATTCTACATTTTTTAGACCCATCGAAATATATAAAATTGAGAGTTATTTCTTGCTTTTAATGAATTTCATCGAAGAGAAGTTTTTAGCCAAATTGGTGATCTTTTAAAAAGTTTAATGTTCTTTTAAGCTCTGGTCAGTTTTAAAGTTTAGGTAATTTCTCTTATTAAGATACTACCAGTAGTTTAAATTTATAAATTTATTAACTAATAACATTAATTAATTAATTAATAAATTAATTAATTAATGAAATTAAGTAAATAATAAAATGTCGAAAACGTAGAATCGAAATCTGAATCGAAAACGTAGAATCTAACAAAATCTAAATCGAAAACGTAGTTTAAAATTATTACTGCGAGTTTATGCCATTATGATTACAGGATTACAGAACCATCATACATTTATTTAATGTCTACTGCAGAAACACATGTATGAGGTTTCTGTGATCTTGTAAAAATTATATAGGTATCATAAAAAATATTAAAATAATAAATAAAATTAAAACTTTATTAAATTAAATTATATATTAGAATTATAAATTATATTTAAAAAATTATATTTTAAACTTCATATTATAATCGTGCCGTAAAAGCAAGCTACTTATATCGCTCAAATTTAATATTTTTAGTACGGAGAAAAAATTCTGGTAAAATTACCATACTGTACGGTGATGACATTCTGGTTAATAAAACCAAATTGTATGGTACTTAAACCATCATTAATTTTGAAATTTTTCCTCTCATATGGTAACAGTTTACCGGATATTCTGGTTTTCAAAATTATGGTACTTATAATAACATATTTAGTAAAAAATACAGAACGGAAAAGTAAATTTAACCGAATGAATGGTAATATGCTCTAATGTATCATGATAAAATTACCAAATTTTATCGCACTTTTAAAAAAAATATTTTTTTGTTAATTTTACCAGAATCATTACCAAAGAGCTTTGGTAAAAATTATCGAGATTTTGGTGTTCTCATAATGGCAGAGACACGGCAGATTTTACCATCTTCTGGTAGTTTTAAACAAAACTTTTTTCTCAGTGAGTCCTTTTTATGATATATCATCCTCTTTATAACTTCAATTCAGCTTACAATATGTGATGTATCATAAGAACAATACTTAACGAATTATATAATTTAATATTAACTTTATATTAAAAAAACATTTTGAAAACAGTTTATCTACCATCTGATGATATATTAAAGTATTTATCGAGGATTTACGTTTCTCATTTTTATACCTATAAATGATTTAGCCTTTAACTCTTTCATGCCCGTGTTTNTATATATATATATATTATTCATCCATATATCCCATTAATTCATCCACAGATAGTAATTTTGAACTGAACCAGAGAATGATAAATCACCAATTCAGTACCCCTCCCAAAAGGTATTGATTTGTTATGGGAACAAGGAGGATTTTGTGAATGGACAGATTTAACATGCACCAGTCACCATTCACACGGGGAATCTTCTGACGGCGGGGATCGAACTCACGACCTTGGCCATGGGCACAACGTCCGACCAACCAGGCTATCCCTGCCTACTTTTTGATATATATTTAATATAAATTAACTTTGAGCATACTTTTCTTTTTTCCAATGGCAGTGTATATTATACTCTTGGTTCAAAAATGTAGTTGTTTTTAGATTATGGTCTGAAATAAATGAAGTTTTTTTTAATGTTCAGAAGAAAAATCGGTACTTTATTTAGTAAATAATTTATATTTTTATTATAATTCTTCTTCTTCCCTGGCGTGACAGCCTTGGTAGGGCCCTGACCTTCTCCAGGAGTTTCCTTTTACTGCCCCTCTGTTTGAAAATCAAAAGCTGTAGGACAGTCGCCAAAGTGTTGATGTCTTTCTCAATACTGTCCATACGCCTAAGACATGGTCTTCCTCTTCATCTTGTTCCCATAGGATTTGATAAAAATATTTTCTTGCAATTTCGATCTTCCTGCATTTTGATTAAATGTCCAGCCCATTTTAGTCTTTGTATTTTAATGTATTTGTAGACATCAGGGGAGGTTTCCCTAAGATTTTGTACATCTCTGAGTAATAATTATGTAAATTTTATACTTATTATCTATAATTATGTAAAGTGTACTGAGTTATAATTAGGCTTTATTATAATTATGTAAATAATAATTTTTTAGCTGATTAAATTTAGAAAATATTTCAGTAATTACAATTGTACGATTTTTTTAAATTTCAAAAAACGTAATTTTAGATTTTGATAGTTTTATTATCTTGACATTTTACATTGGGTGTCAAAATTTGTCGAAATGATTGATTTAATAAAACTTTTTTGACAGGAATAATTTTCCGGTTCATTTCACGGTATTTATCAAAACTATTGAAAAATAACGGGTTTAAAATGATCTCAAACATTTGTAAAATAATAACATCTTTTTTTATTTAATCACTATTTTTTATTTTTTATTTAAGAATAAAATTAAATGTCGTTATTTTAGACTATGAAACCCATAATGCCTAATTTTAATGCACTTCTTTATTGATTTTTTGCCGCAAAACTTGACCCACTTTGGGGCAGTGAGATGAGGAGGCTTTTTATCAAGGGTCAGTTTCCTTTAATTTAAAAAATGTATATATTTAAAAATACTCGTATTTTTATTTCTATATATTCTAGAACTTTTGAAAAAAAATTGCAGATCATTTATAATCTAAATTACATCCTTATGTGAGTATTTTAAATGATTCAAAAAAGAGTAGATTGTTGTCATTAAATCTCTCAACTCTTGTTTATTCAATTTTTCTCCGTCAAAAACATGTTTCATTTCGCGGGAAAGAAAAACAAGACAAGGATACAAACAAAGTCACCTGGCGGACGATATGAGAAACGACGTTTAGAAATAAAACATTTCACTCGGTTGTTGTCATTTAGAGTAAGACGAGTTCTTATATTTCAGTATCACATCTTCAAAATGAAAAGAGCCTATCAGATTCTTTCTCTTGTTTCAGGTAAATAAGGCCTTGATCTATTAACTCATTCTTTCATAATTTGTATGCAAAGTAACAAAAATATGTAAATACAAACGGTTTTTTTTATTTTGTTATTGAAATTTTAATTAAAATATTTCTAAATATTATTCTGTAATTAGACTTAATATCTCATAGTAGGAAGTAATGATTTTAACAAATGAAGACACCCCAAATAAATGCACGTTGGTCAGGATTAATTAATTTATAAATATTCAATTTAAAAGTTTGTTTTAAGAGGCTCGATTTAAAAATGCACGCATTTTTTAAAAATTTTTTGAGTTGATATATCGAGCAAGTAGGTACACAAAAATGAATGAAATATGCATTTTTCTTTTCTTTTAATAATTTTTAGTTGATAAGATTTTATCCACGCAGTAAAATGGGTTTAGCAAAATTGAGCAAAAATTTTTGAGAATAGAAGTGAAAGAAATAAAGTCAAATTAAAAACTCCATGTGACATCTCATATACTTATTATTGTTCACTCTCGTTTAAACAACAAATTACTCAAAATGATGCATCATTTTACATTTTTATCAAAAATGAGTTAAAATTTTTTTGAACAAATCACTATACTCAATAACGGGTGTTTGGGGTTTTCAAATTTGACTATATTTGTTTTGGCACATTTTTGCTCAATTCTGGGAAACACTTTTTAAAAGTGAATAGGTGATGAAAACTGTCATGCTTACTATTTGCTACCCGGATGCTAACTTACAATCTAGTGGCCTTTAACGACTCACTCTCTCTCTTTTTTTGGAAATTTTCATCTTGGCTGTAGTTGGTAGCAATTACAATGCAAACTTATATTTCTTTTGAAATTTGTTACCTGATATAGAAAAAAAGTGAAAAATCAAGTTTTATTTTATTTTTATTTAAAGAAAATGCCAAATAGGAGAAAAGCCTCTGGATTGGAAAATCGGTTATCGGATAGGGTAGCAAACCAGAGCTGAGAAAGAAATGGCATTTTAAAAAACAAGCATTCAGGAGCTAAATAATTCTAAAAAATATAAAAATCTTATTTTATTTAGACCAAACACTCAATTAGCTGAATTAAATTGTTAAATAAATAAATGTTTTTAAACAACCAATTGTGGTTACAGACATGACATAGTAAAAAATAGCAAATCGCCACTATTAAGTTGCTGCTTCATATTCCAAACATAGAAAGTTCAAAATTGCTGCTTATATTTCTTTACTAAATGTTCTTAAATGGTAAAGTGTTTTCATTTAAAATCTAATTGTTTAGTTTAAAGAATAAGTATATAGTAACAGACAAGACGTTAATGAAAAGAGAATGGGATTTAGGTATGCAAAAACTTATATTTTAAGAAATTTTTTTATAATCTTTTTTGAATTTCAGAGTATTTAATTCAAGAATAAAATATGATGGAATAAAACTTTTCACTTTGAAAGTAAATCTAAGAAATCGAACAGCAGAAATTTTAGCTTCTTTTGACTGATTTCTTAAGAGATGACCTCTGAATAATTCCATCTATTTTTTCTTAAGTTATGTTTCGTAACTTTATAATTTTTGTAATTAAGAGTATCTAACTAACTTTTTATAAAGAAAAGTCGCGTAAATTTTTTAACACTTTAACACCTTGAGTGTCTTAATTTTTATAAAAAAAATCATGCAAATTATTTAGCACCTTAAAGAAACTTCATTTAACACATGGGCACCAAATAACATTGATTGTAACTGAACGCACTATAAGATTAATCTTTATTATCAAGTGATACAATACAGAATTATTGTTTTTAAGCGGCTGAAACCGGTTTGCACTTGCTTCGTTCGTGTATGAATTGGTCAACATTGTAACTCAATACGTTAAAAATAAATACAAATAAGAAGTATATGAAAAATCTCCTGAATTAAAACCCATTACATGTATGTTTAAATATAAAAAATATTGCATACAAACTCGTGCAAAACATGTAATTATTTAAAAACTGCAGTGTGTCTAATAATTTGATCTAATTATTATAATATACTAATAAAATAAATGATATAATTATACTATATTTATATGATATAGCATCTAATTTATCCAATCGTCAAATTTATATTATATATCGTCGATACACGAACGTAAACAAATGCAAAGCAGTTTCAGTCTCGTAAAAACAATCAAGCA